ACGTCATCGGATTCCAGTGTGATTGAGGGGGCCTAGGGGTTGTCAGATTTCATGGAGCCCTAAGCTGTTGCCGATTCAGACCTCGGTCTCTTTGACTGAGTTGATTGGGATGGTTCGGCCTCGGCAGGCCTCTTTTCTGGGACGGAGGGGGTCTTCTCGCTTGAAGCCAATTTTGAAATCGGCAAGGTGTCCTCAGTGTCAATCTGGGTCACCGTTGCCTTTGGTTAAGCCTTCTTTATTCTTTTGGGCTTTGGTGTTGGATGAGGCTGGGATCGTGTTGGTTGAGCGTTGACAGTATCGGGGATGTCGGCTAGAAGATCTTCAGCGACTGCCTTCTTGCGACCCATCTCGGCAGGAATTGCAGTTCGACGGTGGCGTCGGCGTTGGGATGGCGGGATCAGCTGTGGAGCCGAGGTAGATGGTTGCTCTGCTGGATCTGAGGTTGACCCCTAATTTGGCCGAGATGATGAAGTTGTTGGTGGAGTTGTGGTGGACGGAGGAGACTAACTCTTCTTCTTCTTTGGAACGTTGTGGAGAACCGACTTGTAAGTGGGAATGAAGTTGAGTACCAAAGGGGCTCTTCGCTTGTGGACCGGCAAGTCCAATAGATTCTTCAAACCCTTGCTGGGGAAAAAGGACTTGCGAAAGCCTTTTTCTGGTTGGGGAAGAGCTGCAAAAAAAAACAGACATTAGAACAAGGAAAGTATTGAAGACTTTAAAAAACAAGTAAGTACAAAACACTAGGCTCTTATTTTTACCCTCTACAAAAGCTGTTCGAGGAAGAGGGTAGCGGTAGAGGTCCTCATCTGGAGCGAACTCCCAGTTTCCCGAGATAATGAAGTAATCATCCCCGGCTCCCTTGTTGGAATCTGGGAGGTCGACAACGATTTTATACAATGTGGACCTCGGCTTGAGGCAGTAAATATAGCCTTTCTCCAATTTGAGGCCACACATGGTGTAGCAGTATTGGATGTCGGCTATGGTAACCCAAACATTCTCTTGTTTGGCTAAGGCTATTATACCATTGATGACTCGGTAGGAATTGATGGCAAGCTGTATTGGGTTCAATTTACAGTAATGGAGTATCTCGAGGAAGAGGATGTTGAGTGGGAGCCTAAGTCCGCACTCGATAAAAGCAACAATAGAGAAGGGCATAGAATCAATTGTGGGCATGATAGAGTCTTCCTCCCCAGCCAACCTCAAATGAACATCGGCTGGAATAGAAAACTCCCGCCTGAAGTATTCTAATTTGGTCGGGGTATCTACCCTATGCTTCCACATACCCATGACGTCGGCTTAATTGGAGGAGTTGGATTTCAGAAGGACGTGTTTTGGAGGGGTTTGAGGGACCTCGGCTAAAACCTAAAAATATACTATGATCAGAATCTGTGGGGATTCTAAGGGGAACTCATTTCAATTTTTTCTAAAGTTTGTGGGTTCTATAAGAAAATTCCCAAACCTAGATCTATGGAAACAAAGATTGAAGGCATGAATCTGAAAAAGACACAGAAAACAGAAAATAAGAACGTGTTTCAGAATCAAGAACAGTGATGAACTATCAAGAACAGTGGCAAAAGTGAAACAAATTTGTGAGCAGTGTGTACGTTCAAGACACGAATTGGGCAAAAGCAAAATCGTAAAATAAACATGCTCAGATACGTGATGCATAAGTCAAGAACTTGAGCAAAACGACAATGGCAACAAATAATAAGGTAAAGCTTTTTCAGGAACTGAAACCAGAAGGAACAGTGGTTTACTAGAAAAAGTGAGGCCGGTGTGAGGATCGCCGAAGTCAAATGACGGTTGCAAAAGCAACAGAGTGGTGAAAATCACACCAGAGGAGGAGAATGAAGCAAGTTGCAGAGCTAGGAAAGCTTGAACAATGGCAGATCTTGGAGAAAAGGTTAGAAAGAGAAAAAGCTTCAGAAACAATGGTGTAAAGTGAAAAGACGGAGAGAGGAATGACGTTTTGTCTAAAACACAACAACGGCGGAAACGAGGCAATTAATGTGCCTAAAACGACGTATGCGTCAGGCAGCACACGTGAGAAAAATTCGACTTACAAGCGCGTATTGAGTATGATCCAGTGAGGGGAAGACGCGTGGCAAAAACGGTTGATTTATTTTGCATGACAGCTCATACGCGTGATAAAACTCTTGGAGTTCTTGGTTTAAATGAAGCAATGACCTCGGCTGATAGGAAAATCTCGGCTAAATAACTCAAATGAACTAGGTTATTGGTCCTAAAAGCCTTGATGAGACAGACTACATGATCTGATCATGTGAAGCCGACGTATTATGACCTCGGTAAATGGATGATACAACAAGATAGCCGACATGAACAATATAGGTTCCGTCACCTCAGGATGCCGAGGTAATAGAACCTAGGGGGCACAACACGTGGCCAAGGTGATGCCGACGTGTCAGCTGGGGTGCCACGTGTCCTGGTCGTGACACCGAGGTGATCTCGGCTAGGCCGAGGTTATCTCCAAAGATATCGGAGTTCGGGATAAGCGGATAAGGGACAAGAGTCCTAGAATGAGGAAGGACATCAGCCTGGATAAGGATAAAGCTCTTAGGGAGTTTATCTTTATCTATTGGAGAGTCTAAGATAAGCACTGAGCTGAAGTCCATTGTAGCTAGGCTTCTATTGGGACTAGGATTGTGTTGGCTATAAAAGAGAGGTACCCCTATGGGTTTAAGGTACGCAATTTGTACTCTAAATAGTGAATTGAGCACTTTTTTTTTTATCTTTGAGAAATAACTGACTTGAGCATCGAAGTGCCCTCGGGTGGACGAACCACCGCCGGAATCTCTTCTTTCTGTTGCAGGTCATTCAGGCGCCATCTATTCTGCTAGTGTTCTCCAGCTGAATACTGAGTTAGCAGTGTGGTCAGAAATTCACTCACACACTTATTTACCAAGTCCCAGACCTTTTTTGGTTCTGTTTGTGCTCTCGGTTGCTGGCACAAATATGTTGAGAGGAGAGTGTTCTTTTCAAATCACAAATAGATACCAATTCTATCATTTTTAGACATCTATCATAATTTGCTTGGGCTAGATTGGCTTGTAGATACTTTTCTCAACTTTGAGTGAATCTCTGAAATGCAAACTGCCGCTTATATTACCTTCCACTAACAAATTTACATAGTTTTTTATTTTTTGCTATGTATTGTTGTGGTTGCCCTTAATATTAAATGGTTGCCCTATGAGGTTGCTACATTTTGGATAGGACTTAAATTACTTTTCATTAATTGATTTTAGGTTAATTGCTTAGCTTTCAATCCCTTTAATGAATGGGTTGTGGCAACGGGGTCTACAGATAAAACTGCAAAGTTATTTGATCTGTTCAAGCTCTCTACTGCTCTCCACACCTTCAACTGTCACAAGTGAGAGTTCGCTCCTTGGTATTTTACTTTATGCAGTATGTACCTTTGGAGCTCTTGTAGATTTAATTATTTCTTTGTCTTTGTTATTAAGACTATATTAGGTTTCTTTAACTGTGTGTGTGTTCGTGAAATCATGTATTAATATGTATCATGTGGAACTCGATTTTTATTTTTTTACGACAGGGAAGAGGTTTTTCAAGTTGGGTAGAATCCAAAGAATGAGACCATATTAGCTTCTTGTTGTCTTGGGAGGAGGTTTATGGTGTGGGATCTTATCAGGTTTGCCTTGGACTACTAGTATTTGTTGTTGTAGTTTAAATATTTATATTAGTGTATTTTAATCTATTTTTTTGTTGTGGAGATAAGTAACACACACAAACACACCAGTATGTCGCAGCTGGTACTGAAACCTACGCATCTCTCTTTGGAAGTGGTAGGAGATACCACTTACTGTCAGTTTAATCAAATGATTTGGTGAGAAATGATAAGAAAATGAGGAGGAGATCTCCTTATCAAGTTTGGTTTATAACTTGGGTGAGAAATGGAGAGAAAGAGAACTCTCTTATTTTATGTGTTTCATTTCTCACCACTTCGGTGAGAAACAAATGGATTGGTTGATGTATTTTTCATAACACCAAGATTGTCCATTGAAATACAAAAGAAGAAAAAGAAATGCCACCCATATCCATAAATCACCAACTTCGCTTTCTTACTAAACACAATCATTTATTTTCTTTTCTCCCTCCACATTGAGCAACAGCTGGTAGTTTGTTAGGATTAATGAGTGGATTTTTTATTTGGAAGTGTGGATTTTCAATATATATTTTGCTTCTTTGTCAGAAGTTTTGGTCTTACTTTAATATCAATGAATTACTTCAATTGGTGTTTTACAACATAAGATATTTTTATACAATGACATAAGAAATAGTGTTGGCCAATGGCTTTCCTCAGTTTATTTGTCCTTAACACACCTTAACAGAAGATTCCTTCTTTAAAACAATTCTAAATGAAGGTAGTGCCAAGCATACATCACAATTTCCGTAACCATTAAGACACTCGGCAGTTAATAAAGGTGGTTTTTTGTTTTTTATTTTTTTACAATGATATTTGACTAAACAAACTAAATAATAATAGACATATATACAAGATTACAGGAGCACGCCCCAGGCCCTAACATGACTATGCAACCCAGCAAAACAAACAAAACTATCAAAACCTAAGGAAGAAAATAAAAACCAACTCAAACCCAACAAACAAAAAACAACTCCAACAAAATGGCCACAGTACATGTGAGGCAGCATCTACAGAAATAGCGACGCACACTCACACACAACACCTAGGCAGTTGCTAAACAGCCAGCAAACAGAGCTAGCAGCAGCAAGGCAGAATCAACAGCAGCAAGGCAAAGACACACTCACACACAGCACCTGGGCAGCTATTCATAGCAGCTAAACTAAAGCAAACACAACACATACCAGAATTCATAGACAGTAACAGCAGGCAGGCATGGCACCTGGATAGATTTACACAGCAGATCACATCACACTCCAGCAGAATGTGTCGAACAGACCGCCAGAGTGTAGCCTAACCAATTCCATATTTGAGGTACCAACATAGAAATAGTAAACAACTCCATTCTACATAAAGAAATACAAGAATATCCCATGAGGAGAGAGCACTTGATTGGCATAACATGCAGCCTGGTCTTTATGTCTGCAGACTCCCCTCTATCACCATTGATTTTAGCAAACCTGAGTATGACACTCCACATAAGTAGGCATCATATCCAGATAATACAAAACCTGCATAACCAAATCTCACCACACAATGAATTCCTAAGTCACTCAACCCACAAATGTGCCTCACACCCATCAAGAAAAGCAGGTACTTGGGGAATCTACACACAACTTTGGTCTCACTACACTCAACCCACTTTTACGAACCATATAACACTCAAACTAACAATGCTCCATCTTGGACCTGCAATAGAAGATACACATAGACAGGAAAAAGAAAAAATTAGTATAAACCTGCAGATATATGGTCTCACACCACTCAACCCACATTTTAGTAATCCTCACAATCCTCAAATCCAACTGCACCTGCAAAATAACACACAAAATTAACGTAATTTCACTCCATATATGCTCTCAACACTCAACCCACAGTGTATGAATCTCACAGCTCACTCTTTCAACAACAGGCACACTCAACCCATACGTTTGTTCTTCATTTGCTTGTGTTTTGTACCCCTTTTTCTCTATGTTCTGTTGCTATTTGTAATTCCATTCACTTTTGTGTTTTCATGTTGGTCACTGATGTGCTGCGAATCCGGACAACAAGGTATGGAAGTGTTGAACTGATTTGTATGCTTTCCGTGTTTGTTAGTGCATTTATCAAATTAGGCATACCATTTGTTTGATAATATGCCTGACTAAAATTCAATGTACATGGAAATCACAAAATGTTTTCCTTGACTGGTATATCCTGAAAGAGCATGACAAACAATATGCATTAATTTGCTTTTCTTGGTTCCAAATTTGATAGAGACCTCATAGTGTTTGGTGTCATTGGCCTTGATTTGTGATTTGGGGTCATTTAACTTAGGACTAGCCCAACCTAACCTTGTAATTGCAAAGCAGACTTTGAAGTATTAGTAAGAAAATGCCTTCTAATAGAGACATCATAGTGTTTGCTGATTTCTTTTTTTTTAATTGCACAGAGCACTACGCAGGCAATTCGATTCCAGCTGCTGCAAGCTCCCCCATCTATCATTAACTTTTCTGATGACTTGAAATATGGTATTCCTATTTATTCAGACTATGAAACTCTTTTAATAAATGTTTGTAGGTTGACTCCATGTTTTGTCCATGACATAAATTAGTTTCTGGTATGTTTCCCTTGAATCAATATGTTGACCATTATTTGCCAGTGATAACATTACTTTCATGGGGACTTGCAATACCTTCTAACTCAAATGGGTAATATTAAAATGTTATTTCGGTTTTGTTTCCTGTTAATTATGATATTGTACAGTTGTAGAAGAAGCCATGTTTGGTCAAAACTTATTTTTGGTGACTATTCTTTCTCATCCAACAGCAGAAGCATTTGACTTGCCCAACAAAGACAAGAGAAGCATTGAAAATCTGCAGTTACAGCTTGCTCCTAGACGGGTTTGGATGGCTTCTTCCATACATAGGGTTGTATAACAAGGTTAGTTCCTGTTAGATTCACTCTTCTACTGTTCTGCAAGTGTTTCGATCTTTTTGAGCTTGAAACAAGCTGCTAGTTTAAACATGGCTTTGTTTAGATTTATGGCTTAGGTTTTTATGCAATGCTAAATCCACCAAACATCCTCATTCTTGGTACGCCTAGAGCATTTTAAAACACTAAGCGAAACCTCAACTGACATTTTAGGCATAATGATAAAAAAATGGGTACAGACACGAAGAGCACCATGGTAGAAACGACAAGAGGGTTGGTTTGGATCTATTTTGAAACTGATTGCTATGGGAAGATTTGTGCAGAGTGACTTTGTGGAGACTAATAAAACTTTGATTTAGAGAACCTGCACCATACCTTATTTTTCACTGGGAACATAAAATCATGCATGGAGTTCTGGAGTGCCCATTTACATGTTTACAGATACTGAATCAATTATCTGGTGTGCAATTTTGAATCAGGCAGCTGCCTGTATAAGCTTCTTTCTTTTACAATTATTTTTCTTTAAGTGCAATTTCCTTCGTATTTGTAGTTTTGTAAATTTGTACTTCTGGTACTCTTAGTCCTACTTGATACAAAACTTTTAGATTATAATTCTCACACAATTCTGACATTAAATTCACCTGTAGTTTGGACAACTAAAGCTATGTCATTAACAAACAACATACACCACATGATCTCAGGCATCATTTTGAATGGTGCCTCAGAATTTATTGCTTGTAAAGAAATAAATGAAAATACTTAAGTGGACAGAAAATTGTTGCTAGCATTGGATAAAATTAGTTACTGTTGGCTGTTTCTTGATTAGCTTTCTATTTTTGGGAAATAAGCTTTTATGTTAGTTTTGTAGATGGTCCTTCAATTTTAGCTTTGTTTTTTGTATTTCCCATTTTGGGACTAGAAAAGTGTTGCTAGCATTTGGATCAATAGTTGCTCCTTTTGTTTCTAGATTAGTTTTATATTTTCTGGGAAAGATGCTTTTATATGTTAGTTTTGTAGAGTGGCCCTTCAATTTTAGCTTTGGTTTTTGTGTTTCCCATTTTGGGACTAGAATATTTTGTCTACTTATCTACGCTGCTTCCTCAATTTCTGTGATTTGCATAATTCTCCTCAATTAGTGTTAGTCTATTTTCATAGTTCTCATACCTTGCTTGGAGTTTATTTATAGGTTTGGGGGGTGTCTAGCAATCCATGATTTGCTTTGACCTACCTAATTTCTTACTGCATAGAGAAATGTAATTCTATTTATTAGATATAGTTGTGCTGCCTGTAATTTTCTTTTCTTTTCTTTTCTTTTCTTTTCCCTTTATTTTCATTACAGTAATGAATAGCCCTTGTGAGAGAGCTTAGTACACTCTAAACTTTCTCTTCCCCTGAATTGTGGACCGTCTTTCTTAGAAAGCTTAGTACACTAGGTCGGTTGGTGTACCCATGGCATATGAATTTTTTGTCTCCCGCTCCCTTGTGAGAATATTTAAAATACTCGGATTCACTGAATATGACAAGGGTATGAGTTTGAATGTGTGTCCGACACCATATTTGATTTGAACACTTCGATTATGTAATTTTTTTATTATATTTGAATAAGTACTCACAGTTCTTAGTAATAGAATATTTTTATAGATAAAAGATAGAAATTTCATATTTTTCTCCTAGATTCTATCTAATTTCATATACATTTCTACATAATTTATAATATTGTATAATATGTAATATATATACATATATGTGTGTGTCTATGACGTATCCTTGTAACTATATTTAATATTTAGATACATATTTCAATGTCAAAAGACGGGTATAAGTGTGAATGTGTGTCCAACACCATATTTAATTTGAACCCTTCGATTATGTAATTTTTTTATTATATTTGAATAAGAGCTCACAGTTCTTAGTAATAGAATATTTTTATAGATAAAAGACAGAAACTTCATATTTTTCTCCTAGATCCTATCTAATTTCATATACATTTCTACATAATTTATAATATTATATAATATGCAATATGTGTGTGTGTGTGTCTATGACGCATCCTTGTAACTATATTTAATATTTAGATACATATTTCAATGTCATAAGATTTAAATTTGTGAAGATTTGATACTTGAACACTGTACCCAAATCCATGTCTATACATTGTTGGTTCCAATATATATATATATATATATAATTTTGAAAGCAAGTGTTCACTTCTTTGTTCTAATTGCCTAATTTTCTCACTATCTGCTATTTCTAAATTACTATTGCATATAAAACTACCTCATCACATTCTGACCATGTGATCTAAATTAGCCTACTCCAATTGCCAAATTTTCATAGTATCTACTATTTCTAGACATTACTTTTATATTTTCCTAACTCCCTCTATCTTTGGATATTTATAGACTAGAACTGAAGGGTTCCATTCTCTAGGGGTCTATCAATGATTAGAGAAGTTACTGAAGCATGAGGGTGTTCTAGGATTCTACAAATAAGTTTTGATTAAATTTCATTGTTCACCTTTTGATATATTTCCCAGACAATGTTACTCATGCAAAAAAAAAAAACTCCTGATAATGTTGTTTAAACTCATGTTTATTATCTCTTTTAGAGGAAATGGAGCTAGTGTCCTTCGGATTGTTCCCTATGCAGCATTACATTTCATGACATATGAGCAGTATCGCCTTTGGAATTTGAACAATTACTCTGCCTTGGGAATGGGCCCCATTATAGATCTTTTATCTGAATCTAATAGTTCATCCAGATATAGTATTCCCCATAATAGAAGATGTTTAGATTTAATTAGTTAAATTGAATTTTTTTCCTTTTCTTAGCTTTTTAATTTTATGAAAGAGGTGACAGTAATTTTTTGAATTCAATTTCTTAGCTTATACAAAATCTGCTATCATCTACTTTTTTTTTTTAAAAAAAAATTCATTTCTTAATTTTATCCTTCACCTTTAATTTTCATGCATCATTTTTATCTTCTATTTTCAATTTTTGAAAAGTACTTTAGTTAATCCAATCAATCATTAAGTTTTTTTCTCCATTAGGATAATTCAATTAGAGGAGGCTCTGCTAGAACAAATATTGGGTAATTATCTAAAACTATTTATTTCATGTGTTCAAAGGATATTAAATTTAGTAAGCTTATACTTGTGACTTGTTCAATTGTAGGTACCATTGAATATTGTTAGTCATTGATCTAACATTGATGTTTGTGTACTTGCTTGATCCAATTAATTCTAAAATAAACACAACCCTTGAAATTGCAATAAACACGTAAGTTTGGCTGGTTCATACATTTTTCAGCAATTTGAGCTACCCTAAAAATATTTTGACTTCAGAAATTTCTCTTGTAAAGTGCTTTGAAAATTTATGAAACTACCCAAAAGAGGAGGAGGACCAATCCATTTTGGAAAGTAGTTCAGGTAATTAATATCATTTTCTCTAATTTTATCATACTTATATTTATGCTAATGCTTGTTTAGCTTGATCATAATACTTTATATGTAGTTTCTAATAATAATGAAAATGCTTTCATGTGGTCCCCGCAAAAACCCACAAACGTGGAATGTGAGTTTTATGTAATGAGGTATATAAAAGACCTCATTAGAGATCAAGGCATCCTAAGAAAACAAAATGTGAGATAAATTCTAACTTTTATTACTATATTATATTCATGATACTTGTACATCTTCTTCATTATCTAATTGTTTCTAAATAACCTCTCACAGTTTAATGGAAAAAAAGACTTGCACAGAAACCGAACTTGATGAAGTGAGAGTTGAATGGATTAATTTCGTCCTAAAGAATATAAGTTGAAATCCAACATGTAAGTATGCTATAACTTCCGTTCTTTAAATTGCTAAAAAACAATTTCTTTAATTGGTGAGGAATACATAATTACTTCAAGATTTCATTTTGGATTTGTTAATTCTATATATATTTGGTTTTATGACTTTAAAATATCTGGTCATGCATTTAAGATTTTCATTTTGGATTTATTTATTCTATGTATATGTCATATCTATATGGTAATCCAAACATTTATACTAGTAACAATCAAAGTGGTTATTCTTTTTCTATTGATGCAGGAGATGAAGAGTCAGTGTGATGAGAAAAGGTCTGACTTTATCTTTTGTAAGACTAGAACAGTCTCTACAAATAGTTAGTTTATTCATATGCTTCTATCAGTTTCTAAATTAATTTGTGTTTTTATTTTTCAGGTCAGAAATTTCTGAGAGAGATGCAAAATATGGTCAAAGAATTCAAGAACTTAGTTTTTCAAGTTTTTTCATTTTGTAATATATGTAAGCACAGTTAAAAACTTTTTATTTAATTCCTTTGTATATACTTTTTGTCACGCCCCAACATTTTAATTAATCAAAAATATTACCAAAGCCTATAATTTAGGTCCATTTTTTTTTTCATATCTATTACCCTTAGGTGATAGAAACATAATAATATACGTTCTCTCTCTCATTGAAAACAACAATGCAATAATACATGCCAAGCTTCTACCACGAAGCTACAAATAAATAATTACAAGCCACATGATGCATTTTTCATTCCTTTAACATCTATGCTAAAATTCATACAAAAAGGTACATGGAATCCATACTCTTCAACTAATGAATCCGAAATTCTCTTCTTGAAAAAGAATGAAACAACGAGGGGTGAGCACTAATGCCCAGTAAGAATCTCATAGTTCTGCAACAATAGCTAACACATACATAGAAATGATCATGGATGCAGAGTGATACCATATAGTAAAGTGACATTTTGTAAGTTCAAAATATTACACGAAAAGTATCTTTTCTTAAAATTTCTCTTGAACATTTAAGAAAACTCCCCGCCATAAATGTAGTCTCTCACCATTAGGAAGCCATAAATTCTCTTTGAAAACAAGTACACTTAAAGAAGAACATCATCTTAAATTTATAAACTCGATTCCAAATTATTTCTCATTTCGTTTCCATTTTAATATTTCACATTTCATTTCTATTCTAATATTACACATTTCATTTCCATTTCCAATTATCATACTCCATAACATCAAAATCCAAAGGATTAGGGTTCAACATAACACAAGAATTACAAACCCATTTTTAATTCAATTTCTCAATTACTTACAAAACAAAACTCATAATCTTCCCTTTTGCCACAAGCAATCCATGGAGTTCATCATCACTAGCCCCTAATCCAATTACCTACATGATGCCAATTTCAATCCTTAGTCCATTTTCCTTCAGTTCAATTTCAATTCATTTATTCTTCTCAATTCATGAGTCAATTTCATTATTTCATAACAACCAAACTGAGACTACAACTCAGTGGTTTTCCAATCATACAAAACACACATAAACACTTCAAACTGCCATTTTACGGAAATTTCGTCTGCGAAATCGGCACCCATGTATAAATTTCGGGACTTTCACTCAGGACACTCCGGCCAACTTAGTTATAATGGAGTCCATCCCGTTTCTCCTCCCAAACAGTGGAGTTCATCCCATTTCTCCTCCCAAACAAATATACATATACAATGTATTTAATCACACAATCACACATAAAGTACATCCCCTTTCTCCTCCTAAACAATCATACATATACAATGTATTAAAACACACAGTCATATTCAATGACAACCATTTCTCAGACTTATCATATTATTTACTCATTTCAAGTAGCACAATACATGTGATCCAAAATATGATTTTCAAATGAAACAAATGCACTTAAAACATAACACAATAATTTCCAAAATCTCTTTCCAAAACATATAGTTTAAATCCTCAAAATCCATTGCATTCTCCATGATATGCATGATTTATAGATAGTCCGGTTTGCCTAGTCAACATGCAATTTCTATAACAATCATAGCTATCATCCACCGATAGCCCAAAACAAATATATCTAAATTGATACATAAATTCCTTTAAAGATATGCTTTTTCCAAAATCTCAACTGGGAGTGATAATACATATCAAGCTCCACCATCATCATTAATTATCTTCCGATTTCACATTTACAATGACAATTTTAATTATTTATACAAAATAACAATTTGATCCAATTGGGGCAAAACTCCCATTTTTTCCAACTATCAACCCAAACTCAACACAACCCAACACAACTCAACTTAGTTCAACACAATTCAACATAGTCAAAACAATCCAACATAATCAACGCAATTCAACATAATCAACACTATTCAACATGCTTCAATTTAACACCACTAAATGTAATTCAACATAATTCAAGGTGAACTCTTAAATCCTCATTTCATCTTTTCATCCCAAGTCTCATGCCATCCATATCATTAACGAATCTTTTTCCCAAAATTTCATTTCATATTATAACATGATTTACAACATCCAAAATAAAGGTTCAATCGCTAATTTCTAACATAATTTTCAAACACTTCAAAAATTCAATTAAACTTGTATATCTACAATTCAACCTCTCAATTTCATGATTCTACTTTCAATTTGGGTAAAATCATTAATTATCATCATGAATCAACTTAGGGTTTTCAAGAAAAATTAAAACTTCTCACACCACCACTTTTTATTCCAAATTTCCCATTGATTATACACTTAAAATTCATAATCCACAATCTTAACCCAACAATTAAACCCCAACATTTCAAACTCTAAACCCCCAAATTTCATGATTTAACACTACATGCTAAAAAATGTAGATTTTGTATGTATATGACCAAAATACCACAAATCTATCTATTAATGCAAGTATTGAAGAAGAACTAGGACCCTTACCTCAAGAATCGAGCAAAAGAGAAAAACTTTGGGAAAAATCCTTAGCAAATCCGAACTTCAATCGGTAGGAAGATGAGATCTTCATGTGTTCTTCACTTTTTGGTAAGCGATCTTGGTCAAATCTTTGATGAATGGAAGGTATTTAGGCCAAGAGATCAAGGGTTTTCGGACCTAGGGTGAGAGGAAGGAAGAGAGAAAAGAAAAGTGGAGAGAATGATCTAAAAAATCACTTTTTAAGTTGCTGAATTCGCGCAGTCCGCTCGAGCGTCTCTTTTTTTGCTCGAGTGTACCTGCTTCCAGCACAGGTACTAAAGCTTCAAACGGGTATAACTCTCCTATCCGGACTCTGTTTAGGTCGTCCTTATGTCCAAATCGAAGCCCCGGAGACAAGATTTCCAATGGTTCTAGCCTCACACCCAAATTCAAAGTGTGGAAAAATAAAAGGTCAAAAGAGTGACGGTTGTTCGTAGGAAGATTGTTCGAATTAAAGTTTTTGGTCCAATCTTACTTTACCATCATGTTACCACTTCAATCAATGACCTAAATAAAATATGGAGGCTCCAAACATAATAATAAAAGGTCAACAACAATCCCACTAGCCTCAGAAATTCAAACTCAACTAGGCAGACTGCTCGAGCACCCAATCTTGCGCTCGAGCGCGCGGACCAACAAAGCCCACCGCTCGAGCGACCACTCCTATGCTTGAGCAGGAATTCACAACTCTCAGAATCTCGGATAGACTGCAAAAGTACTGGAAGCCTCACAAGTCCGCTCGAGAGTTAACTCTCCCGCTCGAGCGGAGGGAAAAATTCTGGATTGCTACAATCTTCCCTCCTTAAGGAATTTCGTCTCTTAAATTGCATCTGTTCTCAAAACCATAACAAGATATAGCAACAAATCCCAATCTAATAATGAGGCATGACAACAACAATATATATATACCTATCAATCTTTAACATCATTCAATTACACCTCATATCAATTTTAAACTCAAAAGTACAAAGTGTTACACTTTTGAACATTTAATTTTCATTTATGAAATATATAACGTTATTCTATTCAATATGTGGTTGTAATTCAAAGTATGATTGTGATTCAAAGTATAGTATATAGTGTGCATTACATTCTTTAAATGTGCGTACAAAAATAATATTGATTATTCTTCAAATATATCGAATCCTTTTTTTATCACACGCATTAACTGTGATGAAAAATGCATAAAGCGTGTGATCTTATCTCATTATTAATCACATGTTTTAATAGATATTAATCACACTTAAAATATGTAATCTAAATGTTTATCATCACAGGTTTTATTAGTTATTAATTACACTTAAAAGATGTGATATAAATGTTATTAATCACACTTAAAAGATTTGATCTACGTGTTTATTATCATAGGTTTTATTAGTTATTAATCACACTTAAAAGATGTGATCTAAATATTTATTATCACACGCGAAAAATGTAATGGAATCATCATTTAATGACAATCTTGGGGTGTGATTAAAAATGATCCCATTTTAATCACACTCCCAAATATCACACTTTGACAAAACTTAAAAAGTGTGATTAAATAACATACATTACACAAAAAAAGTGTGATCTATTTATGATTTTGTAGTAGTATCTGGTATTGATGATGATATGTTAATGGGATGAGAGTGAGAGAAGATCAAGAAGATGAAGGAAAAAGAAAAAGAAAATTGTTGATGATTGTTGGTTGTTGTTGTTGATGATGATGTGTTGTTGGATTTTTTTTTCCTTTCAAATTCTACAATTTTTTTTTTTTTTTGTTGGTTGTTGTTGATGATGATGTGTTGTTGTTAATGGTGATGCTCTCTCTCGTTCCCCAACTCTCTCTTCTTCATCTTCATCTTTATCTTCATCTTCGTCTTCATCTTCATCTCTCTATTTCAGAGCGAAAAGAGAGAGAAAAAAAAATTCCAAAATGACATCGTTTTGGAATTTGAGCCAGTCGGGCTAGCTCCCTCTCGAGCTACCTAGCAGCACTGTTTACTATATGTATCCTTAAATTATGTAATTTTTTTTAATTATAATTAATTTTTTTCTTCAGTTATAATTTTATTTTAATTATAATTTATTAGATCTTTACCTCATGTATTGTTTGGTTATGACCTTTTTTTTAGCTGACTCATAAAATATAAACGCCTTGTTTGGGATAAACTCAAAAAGTCAAAAAGTTACTAAAAAAATTAAATAGTCTATATTATTCAAGAGTAGCTTGTGGGAGAAGCTACTAGGGCAAAATTATTATTTTACCATTTGAATTCAACTATCCAAAAAGTCAAAAGGATAAAATTGTCATTGTGATTTTATTATAATATTTTATTACAAAAAAGTTATCCTAAACGTACATATTTTTTTATCTACTTTTTTAACAAAAAAGTCAAAAGGTGCACGCACATCCCAAATGAATTTAAAGTTCTGTCATTTTTTTTTTTTTTTTATAGTTATAAGGTGCATACGGCACACACTCCCTCAAAACA